TAATTAATAGGCTGGATGGGTGTAAAAAAAGGAATAATCAAATGTCAAGTGGCAAGATCATCGACAAAGAATCGTAGCAGCATCGCGAGGCCGAACCTGAAACGCCAATAGATGGGTACACACAATGCGAATGACTACATAAGAGAAGAGGGAAAGCGGATGGCGATAATGCCTAGAAAAAGAATTTTAGGATGAAACGCGAAAAAATACATTAATTTTGATAAGGAGGAATATAAAGGGAAACGATTATTAGAATTGTATGGCATTCTAAATGTGAGACTGGGTATGTTAGATATTCAGAAATCAAGCGAATAACTAAGGATTAGAATAAATGCAGAATTACTTCAAAAGAATAATAAGATCTATACTTTGTGTATCCTTAAAGTGTATGCAACTGCAGGTGAGAGAGTTGACATTTTGTGTTGGTTTCGGCTCTCATTAGCTGCATGGTTAGAGGGCCATCGAATACTCTAATTCTCAATCAACCTACATATAAGTCTAGCAACCTCTTAGGAGGATTACTGCTTGTGACGACTTTGATTATCGTATTCTGCGGAGCGGTGCTGAAAAATAATAGCAGAGTTAGAGGTACATACAGGATAACCAAACTATAACAAGCTCCTTAGGCAAAAATTAATCTATTTGTGCGCGTTCCACGATCAAAAACCGACATGAAGAAATGCCTATGATTAGTGATACCAGAAAACTTCGACGAGACAGTGAAGGAATCATTTGAAGTGGGGGATGACGACGATTGAAAATGCTATGAAGATAACAAAAGTGGCACTTGGTGTGTCAAGATGGACAATCGACAAAAAGAAAGGGGACAAAATGGAATGAAAGAGAAGAGTAAAGAAATATATTTACGAGACGATGAGTATGAAAGAATCATACAAAGTATGAACACATGTGGTTAGTCAATGCGAATGACCGAGTGAGATGAGCATCGGGATTGCAGCTCCCAACAATAAGATGAATAGCTCACTTGGCCGGAAGCCCTTGCCGTTGTGGAAGTGCACTGAGCCTGGATCCCCGAGCCCAGAAATCGACTTGTCCTGTGGTCCTCTGGTTGCCTGTGCGCTGTCTGCCACCTCGTCGATACTCAAAGTAGGAGAACTGCAATTGGCCTCGCGATAACCGGGCGGCCCGCGGCGCGCGGAATTTATGAGAGCAGAAACATCACTTGTGCTCCCAGTATTGCTACCGACCTTGACAACAGTTGATTCCATGCCAGCCGACTCAAGCGCAACGGAGTCGGAGCACGAGCGCGCATTTTCTGATGCCAGCTCCGGAAGGATGTGAGCCGCGGAAACATAAAGAAATGTGCCACCAGAGAGAAGCAAGGCGAAACCTATACTCGAGAAGCAGGAGTCGGAGGATTGCTGATTACGGAAAAAAGAGCAAAATGTCCGCCAATTACGATAGTCCTGACACAAAATAAAATCTTACGATTTAAGTATTGTTTTCGTGATTTACAGTAAATCAGTAATATGAGATTTATTCACCCAGTTTCT